CCATTTTTTGTGTTGAGTTTTCCTATGAATAAGCTGTTGACACTTTTATTGGTCAGATTCTGTGAGCGTCAATTATGTTTATCCCTTTGTTCTAAATTCTAAGAATTTTATTTCACTTCTGAAATATTTGCTTGAAGTAAAGAGGAAGTCATATCCATTTCTAAAATTTTCTACCTCTGGCCTTTGTTTTCATTCCGCCCTTTGAAGTTCCATCTGATTTTGTTCTCTACATTGTTTAATGGCCACTATGTTATGGAGCTGCTAGTTCCAGCCCTCACCATTATCTAAATCTCCTGTCCAAGTTCATACTAGAAAGCTATTAACAAGTAATTCTAAGAGTTTGTATGGACGATTAACTAGTCTCGTTTGGTTGCAGGAGACATGTCTGTCTATACGCATATCACTGAAAGTTTCACTGACTATAGAATATTTTACTTTAGTTATGTAATGTGCAATACATCTCACATTAAAGTAACATGTTTGACTCAATCAAGAATGTTTAGCATACTGTAGAAGAGATTTAGCAGCCATTGGATTGCCTGACTTTGTAAACGATTATGCATCTGGCCATCCTACCCTGATTGAATCACTAATGTAAACATTTCCAGGTGAAAATTGAAGGTGTCTGAATTAATCATTGTAACTTTTTAAGGAAATGGTATTCTTTTACTCATTGTAATTGGTTAAGGAAATGATATTCTTTCAGTTTGCTTCTTACAGTATCTTACTAACCTTTCTTAACTTCAACTTTTTTGGTAGGTAATAGCTGCAACAGTGGCCAGTGATCCAATTATTCTGAAGCATTCCTTGGAAAGCCAAATGAAGAGTACTGTGCTTGGATTCTAGACCCGGAAAAGTGGGGAGGTGTGTGTTGTGTATTTCTGTTTCTTTTCCACTGCAGTTCTTCCAGTATATCTAAAGCTTAACTACTGCCACTGCTCTGATCAAAATCATAAATAATCACTGGTTGATGAACACCTTATAACCACTGAAAGCTGATATGGAGCTTTTTCTTGTCCTGAGTTTTAATATCTGCTGCATTCAACTGTTGAGGACACTTGACTTTCTGTGCTTGATTGCAACACTGATACTTCATTACACATATGTTTGGTTGTATCAGTTTTGAATAATATTGTTATTCGTGCTCCCTTTGCAATTATTTTCCCCTTTTTTGGTCTGTTAATTCATTTGATTGAACTGTATATATGCTTTATCTTTTTTGCTTCTTGTAGGAGCGATAGAGCTTTCAATATTGGCAGAATATTATGGACGTGAAATTGCAGCATATGATATTCAAACCGGAAGATGTGATTTATATGGACAGGTATCACTTTGTGGATGTCAATGTGGCTTTTCTGAATTGGACTGGCTCAACTGACTTCAATTTCTAATCTCTCTGTCATCTCACTCTTTAACAGGGGAACAACTATAATGAGAGAGTTATGCTGATATATGATGGACTGCATTATGATGCTTTAGCCGTAATGTCTTCTCCCTTAACTATGATTTCTTCATACATCAGTGGGCATTCTTATGTTTTCGTGGTTTTGATTCCTGAATAATCATCATGAGGATGATCATGATGTTGGAAATCATATGTTTGTGTCTTGGCTTTATACGCATCAAGTTTGTTACCATATGAAATTTCACTCATCTCAGCACTCGTAGTTAGTGAATTCAAGGTTTTGAGAAAATTTGTGATGTAGATGTCAGAAAGGAATCAATAATATCATGAAAGTAACTTTCACACAGTTTTACTGTAGTACTTAGAACAAAGTAGCAGTAGTGTAAGCATAAATTGCGTCACTCCACATGTAAATTTTCTGAAGATATACAAATTGTAGTAGTAGATGCGTAGTGATAATGAAATCTTTCACTTTCTAGGTCCATTCTTTTCCACATATTGCTGCTTCTAAGATAATATCTGACTTCAAACAGATGTCTCCATCTGATGGAGCTCCAGAAGAATTTGATCAGACAATATTTGCTGTTCAAAAGGACCAGACCATTGGACCAGTGGAGGGGCTTGCTCGTAACCTGGTGAAGGAGCAACAGAGGTAATAAATCACCAGTATTAACAGGACATGGAACAGCTTTCTTCTCAAATTAAAACTAGTTGTCTGTGACAGTGCTTGTTTTGTATTATCTCTGCTCTGAATTACTGTGCTCGAAGGACATCTTGTTATTTTGGCTATAATTTAACACTCCTCCTAAAGAGAAAAGACAATAACATCAGTTTGAAGAATAGAACTGGCCACATCAAGGATGGGAATAGGCCTGAAGTAATGATCTGTGTCTCAGAGCTTTTTGAAGTTATGATGTTTCTTAGAATATGGTGTCTCTCTTTTCGTCGTCCTTTCTTGAGTCAAAGCCCGAAGAAATGCAACTTTTTTCTTTTTGCAGCTGAAAACAAGGATAGAGCATGGTTGTTCCATTTCCACAATTTGAGGGCTGAAACTTGCTGATTTAGTGATTGAAAACAAGAAAATAAAAACTTTGTGGGACAAGTATTCCGTGTGTTAACCATAAGTTTGGTCTGGCATGGTCCATCATTAAACATTTTCTTCGTCACTTCCTAAGTATGGGTGAGATGAGTTGCTTTGGGCCCATAAAGCTCTACTCACCTGGAAATGCTTCAAATCTGGCAAAGTATGATACCCATCCTTAAATACGTTCCTTGATTAAACTGCAAGTGCACAATTACGTGTCTTGGTACTGTTCTGATGGAAGGTGTAACTTACTCAATCGAAGTATCATAAGTGTCCTCCTTCATGAGCCTAATTGTCTGTGGCACATACTTGTAAGTTTCCTAAGAATCGATATTTCTTGCCCATTGTATTCTTATTCAAGTCAAATCTTGATGGTTCAAAAGGTAATTAAAATGCATTTGAGGATGCTGTATAAATTAAGATAACGAGCCTTTGTTTCTGATATCAAAATGAATGACATGTTGAAGCTGCAGCATGTGACATTTTAATTGAAAAATGTTTTTGAATTGCAGGAAAAGGAGTTACACTGACACTGCTAATTTCACTCTACGTTGTGGAGTCTGCCAAATTGGAATGATTGGACAGAAGGTTCTATTACTGGCTTGAAATGTTATCTCTTCTTGGTATTTGCTCATCTCTCCTTTTGCTAGAAATTCAGAGCTCTTCTGTCTCTTTTTTTTTTTTTGGCAAATATCGTAAATGAACAGGAGGCTGTGGAGCATGCACAAGCAACAGGCCATGTAAATTTCCAAGAATACAGATGAAAGAATCTACAAAGGTGTGAAGAAAAAGGAAGTCTGATAAATCGATCCTTCTTCTTCTTTGAAAGAAAAATATGTCTGTATTCCTCCTAGGCAGTTCCTGAGTTGTGGCTGTACCACTGAGTTGCGTCCCTTCTTTGTTTTATGGGATCAGTAATCTGGTCACGTTTATCCTTGTGAGGTACTGAACATATACATTTACAGTTTACAATTTGACACAGAGAGAAGGAGGAAATATGCCCTTGGTTCTTACTTCTTTCCCCTTGTTTAGTAGAAGTCAGCAGAGTTTCGCTCTTAACTTTGATACTAGTCCACTTTTTACTGCTTTTTAGCTATAAGGAGGGCGCGCCATGTTCGCCATTGATCAATAAATTCTAATACTTCTGCTTTTCCCCTGAAAGCTCATATATCATTGGCAATACGCACTCAGTTTAGTAGTTTCTCAACAGGGATAAAGCTAATCATACAATGACGTGAGAATTCAATTGCAGCCTGATCAAATACTTTCTTTCCCCCTTTCAGCAGCAAGCTGTCCTTACATAGTTATTCCTTTTTTGCCTGAGGGATCTAATTATAAACAGCTAGGGAGTCAGTACAGTTTTTCAAAGTCTTTCCTGTACATGTTGAACATGTCACTAGCTACTGCCTCCAAAACAAGAAGCAACTTTCTGTACGCGTGAGCCTACCACGTTAGCCATGGCTCATGAAACCCTTTTTCTTGAATGCAACAAATGATGAAGGAAGGAAATAGACCATTATCACAACAATTTCCTGCCCTAGCTGGAAAATTCCCTTGGTTGGAAGTATACTGTCATGGGAAGCGCTATGACGACATGACCTTTTGCACGATATTTCCTTCTGGATCTGCGAAGAGCAAGCGTGAGAGGACCGCGGAATTAAACGACAAAAGAGTAGTATCCTGTTCTGGCTTTGGTTAATCTTGAGAGATGACGAGACCCGGCGATTGTACTCAATTTGGAACCCCCAGACTTCAGAATGCTTTGATCTGCCTCTCCGAAAATCGAACTTCCCCGTTAGAGATAGACTAATCGTGCAAAACTTTTGTTAGTGTGATCTAAGGATGAACTTTTTTCAGTTCAGCTCTGCTATGACATCACTACGTTTTCCCAATTATTCCCAACTTCTCTGCAAACTTATGGGGAGAGTGACAAGTTTGCATGGTCGAGCCTTGTTTTTGGGCAGTGATTACAACCTTTCTTATCTTTCCAGCAGTGTGTGACTCGGGCATGGAAGAAGCAGGGAAGCATATGTTTTGGTGGGGTTTCCACTTTTCGAGCGGAATAGAAAGTCCAGATTTTTAAGAATCGTGAAATTTCACTATTATAAGCATGCTAAATTAGCAATCTCTGGTAATTTCAAAATAACAACGTAATCACTTTAACAATTTCTCCACCAGTGATAATAAAGCTAATAATAAATAACTAAGGGAATTACTTCCAAAAAATGGACTAGAGATTTTTCGCAGAAGCTAATGTGTAAAGGAAAGTTTCCCTCTTTCAGCAGGATCTGTTCCTTTTTCGTTGAAAATCTAATTATGGACAAGATCCCTTTCGGCAGGAATTGTTCCCTTTCCCTTGAAATTGAAAATCTATTTATGGGGGGCATGTACATGTTGAACTTGTTCATTGATTATTTATCAAGAAACTGTCTACTTCCTGCTTCCCCATCTTCTTCTTCTTCTTCTTCTTCTTGTCGTTAATTGTTTTGGCAAATTCTTGATTCCAAAAACATGGTGGAGGGACAAGAAAGACCATTACCACAGCAATTTCCTGCACCAGGAAAATACCCTTGGCTGTTATACCGTCATGGCAAAGGCTATAACGACCTAACCTTTTGCACGATATCTCCTTCTGGACCTGTGAAGAGCGAGCGAAAGAGGATCCCAGAATTAATAGATAAAACAGTTGTATATTGTTCTGAAGACGGCTGGTTAGTCTTGGCCGATATCGAGACCAAGTGGACGTACTCAATTTGGAACCCCGCGACTTCACAATGCTTTGATCTTCCCCGTCTAAAATCAAAGCTGCTCTTTATCGATAGTTTCTTGTCATCGCCGCCAACTGATCCAGGCTGTTTGGTAATGTTATTTGTGGCTAAAGCCCCGATAATCTTGTACTGCCGTCCTGGTGACCAAGAGTGGACTGAGTTTAATTATGGTGAGAGTTTGAAGGCCCAAACTTCAACCACAAAAGACAGCCGAGAAAATTTTCTGTGTCAACCCGTAAGCTGCAATGGTAGAATCTATGCGACATCCGCAAGGATTTTCTGTTTGATGCGCATAAACTTGGACAAGGAATCCAACACTATTTGTGGCATATCTTTATTGAACCAGCAAAGGCCACCTTGGTACCACTTCCACTCAGTTCTTGTAAACCTTTGGTTGGTGGGATCTGGGGATGAGCTTTTCTCAGTTCACAGCTGTTATGGCTCGCTAGACTTTTGCGACACCCTGACTATTGAGATCAACAAATTCAACTTCCCATCAAATTTATGGGAGAAGGTGACAAGTCTGAATGGCCGAACCTTGTTTTTGGGCGAGCACTACAGCTTTTCGTGTCCGGGTCCAATGGCGTCGTGCGACTCAGACTCGGACATGGAAGAAGCTGGGAGAGGGAGTTGCATTTATTTCACTGACCGCTTTGATGCAACGTTGTACTCGTACAAGATCGAGGATGAAAGCATTACAACGTATTTACCTTGCCCGGATTTACCAAAACCATGGCTTCTTTTTCCCACTTGGATAATGCCTGTTCAAAGGTAACGTTAATTGAAAGTTAAATCCTTTTTTGGCGTGTAATTTCTAGTGCAGAAACAGTTGCAGATATTCATTGGATCTAATCTCCTCCTCCAAACAGGTCCGAGCACCATACAACTACCAAAGAAGATGAAGAAATGCTGCCCCAAGAAAATAATGTTGAGGTCAATAATAGTAGCGCAGAGATCATCGAGGAAGAGGGACGCTTGTGCGATCTCCCGCCAGATATGCTCGCAATGGTCTGCGGAAATCTTTCTTTTGTTGATTACATGAATTTTCGTTGCCTTAATAGAATCTGTGCCTCCACCGTTAGGATGAAATCCAACTCACTCCCTCGGCCATTTCTCATCTTCTCCAATAGAGAAAAGGAGTCTATGAAATTGTTGAATCCAGGCTACAGGGCAAGCACTCAGTCACGGTTCCTGAGGCTATTGAAGATCATACAATTCGCTATGCCAAGGACGGATGGTTACTGCTGGATAAACGAAATTCTGTTGCTCTCTTTAATCTATACACGAAGGAGATCATTCGTTTTCCGGATACGCCTCGTGAGTGCTATACAAGCTTTGTTTTTACATCCTTGCCATCTTCCGCGGGTTGTTTCGTTTTTGCAAGCTTAGGAGTTGATAAAGAAGTCTGTTTCCACCATTTCAAAATGGGAGAGCAAGAATGGAGGCAAGTGGGATTTGGCCAAGCCGAAATAAAATTCCAGCCCGGTTTTAGCAGCCCGCTGCTCCACGGGGGACTTTCTATTACCTAAGCAAGGATGGCATACTTGGAGGTCTAAAGCTAGAAGCCGAAACTGATAATGACATCATGGAGATGGAGGAGGATGGAAATGCCGAGGTTGAAGATGGTAACTATGTTATGGAATGGAGAATTAATCTCGACCTGGAAAGGCCTTGCAAGAATTTTCGACGCACTTACTTGGTGGAGTGTGATGAGAATCTTCTGTCTGTATTTGAGGGGCGCAGGGGAAATAGAGTTTGGATTCGAGTGTACAAGCTAATTAACGACGAGCAGAACTGGCAAGAGATGAACAGCTTGGGGAACTATTCACTGTATCTCAGCCGGTATTCATCTATCGCCCGCCTTGAGGAAAGCCCAGATATGGCCAACAGAATTTACTTTCCAGATTTTATCAAGGTGGCCTGCTTTATTATTCTTTGAGCACCAAGAAGTATCATTCCGTTGGAAGCGACGATTTACTGGACAACTTCTTTGGCACTACAATGTACAACGATTGCGCTTGGGTTGATCCGAGACGGCGCTAGATTTTTATTTTTTGTTGTTGATTTAGGATTTGATTTTGCCTCCTAATAATAAGTTACACCTTTCTTTCTTTGATTTCATGTGCCAAGGACAGTTACATGATTTTGCAGGCAACTTCTAATTAAAGCCGATATGCAGTGTGTAACTGTATATGTTAGTTAAAGATCTTGCAGTGCATTCCGCAACTTTTTGAGTTTTCATTGTCTAGAGTTCCTAAATCTGCAAAAGGAACCAAATTTGCAACACGTCATAATGAATCCTCTTTTTACGTTTCAACTCTTTCCATGAAGAATTTCAAATTATGAGGTATTACAACTCTGAAGGGTTCAGCCTTCAGATACTGGACCTCAATTACAGATTCACATGGCTCATCTGAACTTATTACGCTGGGATCCTGGCTGATAATGTCCACAGAATCATTTCAGCTGAGAAGTCACAGCACCGCTATGCATTCTATTTCAATTTTTGCGTCCAATGGTAAAGCTGCTACTTGGTAAGTTGATCGAGCTGGCGCCGGTGATGTAAAGTCTGCAACATAAACAGGCCAAATAGATTACAACCCATTGAAAGAAAGAAAAGAGAATCACATAATTCTGGCCACCATGTCGTAATTTTAGCTGGGATTAAAGTCTCCATAATCAATAATCCTTGACAAGAAAAATGCAGACAACATCTGTTCCTTCAATGCGCTTCACAAACCTTACTCTTTGCTAGGACAGGAAAAGGGTTCTTAAGTGTTCTTGATACCATTAAAAATAGATAACCAAGTACTGAGATATTTGAACCTCTTCCAAATTAAGCAAGAAAAAAAGAAGCCCCACACAAGATATTAGAGAGAGAGAGAGTGTGTCTGTGTGTGTGTGTGAGAGTGAGCAAGTGAGTAAAATAAGTCCATCAATACAGCAATTACTGAAGATCATGATAATCCACCACCCATCAGAATCATTTGGTTTAGTTGAAAGGACGCATATTCAGACCTTCAGATGAAAAAAAGAAAGCGCGTGTTTTTAGGCAGAGCAATGATTTTATTCAGTGTCGTCAATATTAAAAGAGTATCTATATGTTCCAGCTTAGTGTTTGAATAACTGTAAACATGATTTGTAGGTCAGAATCTTTATGGATTACTCTACCTTTTGCTACAATCTCTTAAAAAATTTAACATGACAAGGAATCTTCATCATGTTTCATGAACTTTTTGAAATGGACCAAACCATGACAATTAACACAAGCATTTGTAATTGTAGAGTCCACATATCATAGTAGAAAAAGACAATCTCCAAAGCATGAAAGGAAAAGGACTAATTTTGTAATCTGTAAGGGCTTCTTAATTTCATCTTCCATCATATATCTGTAAGGAGACATTACGATTGATCAAGAAGGCACAACTTGTCCTTTAGCTATTAGTTTCAGCATCTTAAACATCCCAAAAGCTCAAAACAATAAGAGCCTCTTCAACACGCTCTTGATAAAATCACACCCAAATTCAAGTACCTCTTTCAATTAATCTCCTAAATTCCCACGAATGATTTTTTTTTTTAGTCCATTATAAATGCTGTAACTCTGTTACAACAATCATGAGACACATGATTGTCAGCTGACAAGAATTTGGGATCGAATCATGAATGTCACAAGGAGTATGCTAGCTTCTTCCCCCCCCCCCCGCCCCGTATGTTCTACCCCCAGACAGAATTCAAAAATAGGAAAAGGAAAAATGAGAAAAGAACTTGGCTTAGTTCAATGGACTCACATTTAGCATAAATCTCATTGACTTTCTTAAAATCCTTCAAGTCAGCCAACCTGTAACAGAAAAAGAAACACTTTTAGCCTTAAGGATGGAAACTTTCTGAAAAGACAGAGAGATACGTTAAGGTTATGTTGAAAGCCTAGAAACGATTGCTCACATAATTGTTGTCTTAACAACTGAGGAATAGCTAGCACCACTTGCTTTAAGTATCTCGCCCATATTCTTAAGAACCTGTTAATTTGCATTAGCACAAAAAGTGTTAGTAAGATCCACTCTGTAACTATAATATCTGGTAAAATATTCAGAAAAGAAAAAACCTAATTTCAGATACTTCATTTACTCCACAACCATGAACATAGCAATTGAGAATCCTCCACAAACTTTGATCGTGCACCACATTGTTTCAATTAATTCATGTATGTGTATTTCATAAATGCATCAGCAGCAATTCCATCGGTCAAAAGTTTAACACTTACTGCTACACTCAAGCTATTTAAAAGAATGACTGGCGACAACACTTAGCATGTACCTGCTCTGTTTGATCCTCAACACTATCCGAGACAAACTTCCCAGTCTGGATTTTCAACATAAAAAAAATTTATTACCCATTTTTGGTGAATAAGATAAATCATCACATATTCAGACACATACTACGGATCATTAAAAACAATGTCACAGACCTCTGGAACTAGACCAAGAACCCCAGACACAAAAAGGAGGTTGTTTGCTTTTATAGCTTGAGAGTATGGCCCCAATGCCGCTGGGGCCTTGTCAGTCTGAATAGCTTCCTTTATACCTAGAACACAAAAGAATAGTTTGCATAGCAGATAAAATCGCATAAGAAACCCAACGAGAATGCATAAGAGCACAAAAGTAAGCCCATGCACAGACAAAGTTCCTATAATTCATCAAATGCATAATTCGGTACTGAGTAATTCATTCATCCATGCGGTGATATGCATTAAACTTCTGTTGCCCTACCATCGAGTATAGCCTACTGATTAAGGTTCGTGGTTCCTCATCTCAGGACAAAAGCTTGTTTCTCAACGTCTCTGTCCCTTTTTTTCCCCCATTAATATCATTACACTATTGATCAAATGATCCAATCTATGAATGAAATTCAAGTTCAAACTAGGCTTCTATACAATCATCTTTGACAAATGAATTATATACATAAAATCGTGCTTGCATGATCCATTAAAAAAATTCCACTCTAAAGAAAATCAAAACAATAAATCGACCCAAAAAGCCAAAAAAAAAAAAAAGCGTAGAAATGTCTAGTTAAGTTTGGTTGCGTAGTGTTGAATGAGGTACAACTAGTATTGCGTGAGATGCCACATCTAAAGTGAGTGACTTTTGACACTTACTGGCATCAGCGGAAATGCTCAAGGAAGCGAAGAGTTTAGACCGAAATGCCGAGGAGGATCGGCCGATGCCGGCGCCGGCCATCGACACGCAGCCGAAGCAGCCGACAGCTAAGGGAGCTCGAGAGCGGAGGGCGGTGACATCAACCGCCGGCAGATGGAAGCTCTTTGCAGCGGCCAACCACGCCATAGTAGTAAATTTTTTACCCTTCAGTCTCCACTCCAGAATCTCACACAATGGCCGTTGTTCTCGTCTACGACCTACTCCCAAATCCCAATCCTCTATGCCTTTTCGCAGTATTTTCAAGGATTTGACTGTTGAGAGAGAGAGAGTCAAGACACGGAGCCGTGTGTACCACCGCCGGTCTCCTAAACTCAAAAGCGTCCGTCTTTTCTAACATATGTTGCCTGGGCTTTTGCGGAGCGTGGGTTTGCATGACAGTCATTGGAGTTGTGCAATCCCAGGCCCAACTCTAACTCACACCACTGAGACTCTTTTTTTTCATCATTTTTTTTTCAAACAAGGAAAGGACGGAATTTAAAAAGCGAGAAAGAGGAAAAAAGAGGAGTGAGATTTAAGAAATTGAGAGGAGGGAGCGAGAATTGAATTTAGAACATCTAATTCTTAATATTTCAAATTTAATCATTAGATCAAACCCTTTTCGACGATTGTGGTCAAAGTATCGGCGCGTATTTTTTTTTTTTTTTTTTTTTTGGTTTGGAAAGTTGCAAAGATATTTTTCAAAAAAAAATTCGTCTCAAAATGAAGCATTTTTGTCCTACAAAACCCTTGTCCCTGAAGCCATTCTGCAATTAGCATGTTTTTACTTTGCAATTGTTTATTTATTCCAAGAATTCACGTTGAGTTGGTTAGAGTTGTGAGGATATTTTACCTTTAATTTATGAATTAATCTTATATAGTACACCAACAATGTCCACACCATTAAAGTTAAACACATGAAATATATATATATATATATTTAAATTCAAATTTAGATTAGGTTTCATGCATTTAATGGTAAAAAAATATACACTCTTAACTTAACGTATAAAAGATGAATTCTTAGTTTGCACATTGCCATTGTACAAGTGATGCGGTTGTACTGCATACATAGAGTTTTCATTCCATTTTTCCCATGACTTTCGTGCATTGGAAATTAGTCTGGTAAATTGTCCGATGAAGAGAACCCAAAAATGTGAGTGACCTTTTTCTTTTTTTTTTTCTGGGCGAGTGATATGCTTTTACTCTTACGGGCCAAATCTGGTTAAGTTTACAAACTCAAGAGCATACAAATAAAGGCCATGTAAGGCCCAAATAAAGGCCCACAGGCTGAGTTAGATTGGCAGTGCAAAAGTTGTACTTCTAGAGCAGAGCAAACAAACACTACTACTGGTGGTACAGACAGCCTTTTAGTACCATGAGATAATACTACTAAACCATCATTGGATTTTGCACTAATTCCTTACATTCAATTGCCTGATGCAACATGTAGTAATTGTACGTATGATGAGATTTACCTAATTCAATCAAATACGTCACTTATGGGTTTCTGCTCTGCATCTCCTCCGGGCAAAGTGCCATCAAATCAAACATCTCTTCTACAAACCGGGCAAGTGCCATTCCTGTTTAACCATTCATCTATGCAATTTACGTGGAAAGAATGTCCACAATTAGGAAGCATCCGTGCACAATCTCCGTTCTTGAAGTCCTGTTTATTACAAGGTAATAATAATAATAAGAAGAAAAAAAAAAAACAGACTGATCAGTGATCATCAAGATACTCCATTAAATATATATAGGAGGAAAATAATAGGTGCCAAGAAAGAAAACATTTTCTTGTTCCTGTCCGGACTGAGGAAAATAGATTACCGTCAAGCAAATTGCACAGATTGTTTCATGGCAAGAAGGATTTGTGGTCTCTATAGAATGAAGGTTACATGTAGGTAGATCATTGATAGCTTCATGCGATAATCCCCTGATGGAATTGACCTCAAAAATGTCTGAAATCTCCCTCAAATTTGATTCCATGTTGCTAATCTGCAATTTGAAACAGCCGAACTTGATAAGCCTACTACTAGCTATCACCGGTCTGAGTGACCGTAGTAGTTTTGTTAGACATGAACCAAGAAGAAGAAGAAGAAGAAAAAAAAAGCTGAAATAGAGAAACAATTGTGATGCTCCTATATAGTATACATGTGCTAGAAACAATTGCCTAAGAGAGAGTAGTGGTGTGGTACTGTGGTGGTGGTGGATACTCACTTGCCATTGATAAGCTTTTAGAACAGCAGGACTGACCCACTCCATGAATATCTTTCCATTCACAAGACTACATATGAGAGCAACCTGTCCAAAAATATGTAGTCGTAAACGTCCATTCTCATTCATTCATTGTCATTGATAATGCATGCAGCTATAATGAAAAGCATCACTCCAGTGCCGTGTGCATTTACCCTCGTGAAAGTGAAAGTGAAAGGGACATACAATTCTACTTTTCTTTCATTTTAAAGTTCATCATGTTTACCTACCAGCCCAGCTGTCCGTTGTTTTTAATTAGCACCGGACGCAATTTCGATTTACCTTGGAAAACGGCTCTCCATTAACCATCAGTTCCAATAACTGGACCGCCGTGATGGCCCCTGCCACCGCACCAACTCCGGCCCCACGGAAGAGTCCAGTTTCTGTAGTCTGTCCTTTAATGGCTCCTGATATTGTCCCTACTGTTGCTCCCTACAGTGCCAAGGAAATTCAAAGGAAAGCAGGGGGATATTTTCCGTATTAGATTCAAAAGATCATACCTTTGCCTGGAAAGTAAAAGAAAGTCTGGCGAAAAAATAAATAAATAATTAATTAATTCAAGAAGGGAAGAATCGAAATGCTGGGGAGTCAAAGAAACTTGCCTAAAGCAAAGATGCAAGTGAGCAGAGACACAGCAGTTCTCTTCATCACTGAAAATAAGAGCCCGGATCCGAAACAGCTCAGTTCTGTTGAAAGCCAGGAGAAAATGCGTTCCTTGCATTTGAAGGTCAAATTACCGAGCCCAGAAAACCATTTCTTGATTGCTGGATGACAGACCAACATGGCCTGTGGATCCCTTCAAGGCTTAGCAAATGTTTTGCAGAAGGTAATTAAAGGAGAGCGTTTGTGTGTAATTTTAGCTGAAACCGGTAGAATTGAGAAATGCGTGGATGAAGTGAAGAAATATGTATGAGGATTTATAGGGTGAGGTTAATGTGTACTGGTAGAGGAGCATTTAATCCGCCTGATGGAGCTGTCGTGTACGCATGTGCTTGCAAGTTGCAAGTTGCATGCATGCGAGAAATATATACTATATAGGGCAAATTATCCAATTGGCCCTTTAACTCTTTGTTTAGGTAAAATTAAGCCTCTCATCTATTTTTTGCTGACTTTAAGCCCTCGAACTTGTAAAATGGGAAATCCGTGGCCCTTTTAGCCAGTTTCTCCGATTTTGCAACCGGATGACCAATCACACGAACGCCATGTGCTTTTTTCGAGGGCATTTTTGTCCTCATATTCTAAGCAAAAAGGGCACACATAGTCCACCTTTCTATTTGATTTCCCTCACCTCCCTTACTCTTCCCTGCGCAACCCCCACGCAATCCCATGCCGTCTCTGTCACATTCTCGGGATTGCTTCCAAATTCTGCACATCTAACAAAACCTCCCAGTCCAAATTCCTAGATACATCTGCACTCTCCTCCCGGGCCATCACCGGCATGTCATCATCATCCAGAAACATGCTCAGAACCTCTCTCTCATCAACTCCTTCATCCACTTCCTCCCACTCAAAATCCTCATTAACTTCTCTATGATCCTCAATCTGAAAAGAATCCCAACAGAGCCTAAGGCTTGGATCATCATCACCCTCACTTATATCATCATCGTCAGCACTAAAATCAATCTCAACGTCATGGTTTATATTAGAATCCGATTCCGACCCGATATCCACGACTCGCAACCCGGTTACAAAATGGTCCCCACCCTCAAAATTTTCAGCTACGAACCCTGAATTTTCCACATTTGCCGAAGTGGGCTCTCCGAGAAACCCTAGATTCAGATCAAGATCCAAATGGGTCGGCTCCATTCCGTCGTTTCCTTCATGAATCCCGAAATTCGGGTCAGCATCGGAAATCTCCGGGTCAATCACCACACAGGTTGTGGAGGACAATTGGGACTGCTCAACTCGTTGGTGCAGGAGGTCCATAACGAAATTCACCTGATTCTCGCGGTCGAAAAGATCAGCGCGTGGTGACAACCGATTCGGGCTCCGACACGATGTCGCTGGGGGATCAACCAATAGCATCGAAATCGGAAGACCAGTAGGGATCGAGATGATGGCGGTGGGGATGGGTTTGATGATGAGAAAAATCTACTTCTTCAATGACGTCGTCTAGGCCGTCATCGTCCTGGTGGAGTCTGAGTAGTTGAAGCAACGTCGTCTCAGCCATTCTGTTTCAGCGGGGTGGGGAGAGTAGGAGGAATAAAAGTGAGAAAGGAAACACCTTTTTTTCGAAAATTATTTTTTATCTAAAAATTCCCATCTTTTTGCGTTTTCTTTTGTTTGATATTCTACGGCATGGGCAAGGGGGGTAGGTGATCAACAATTTCCCCTTTTATTTTCTCTCTCTTTTTGACTAAAAATGAGCACTTTTCCAGCTTCCTTCGGTGGATTATGTGTGCCCTTTTTGGTTAGAATATGAGGACAAAAATGCCCTTGAAAGAAGCACATGGCGTTCGTGTGAATTGGTCATCCGGTTGCAAAACCGGAGAAACTGGCTAAAAGGGCCACGGATTTCCCATTTTACAAGTTCGAGGGCTTAAAGTCAGCAAAAAATAGATGAGGGGCTTAATTTTACCTAGACAAAGAGTTAAAGGGCCAATTGGATAATTTGCCCTACTATATATATATATATATATATATATATAGCCAATCAGGCAGTGCGTGCGGCTCCCCTTTACTAAAAGACTTCAAATCACAGGAGTGATCATTTTTGAAAACGCACTCCAATTCCTTCATAAATTCACATTTTCTTTTTGTACGTAAACAATTTGTACCATCAATCAAAACGTTAGAATTTGAGTCTTACCGTCTGGCTGTGGGATAACCCCGTTAAGCCCCAGGTCGTGTAGTCGATTCTGGCTCTCTTACTGTCTCGTGTATTCTTAGGGGCGGGGTGCACGGCTGAGACACTCGCTGTGTTGACAAAAAAAAAAAAAATCAACGTTAGAATTTGAGTGGTTTGTGAAATTACAGTGAAGGCGTGAAAATTTAACGGATCTGGGGTCTCTACTGTCGAATATTTGTGTCTGGTTCTGTACAACACTTGGTGTTAAATGGTTGAATTTTGGTGTAAACATGAATTTCGTATCCGAACCGCCGGATTCGGGTACAATAATTAGACCGAATCAATCAACCGGAGGGACCCGGGTTCCAAATTTAGCAGCAGCAGCATTGATTTTTGCTCCCTGCTTTTGTATTGGCATTGTTGAGTCAGCTCAGCTGAGGAACCAACTCAACTCCCGTGTAAGAGTTCCAAATTTACGGAGGAAGAAAACAGGAGTCCGTCCATTCGCCTTGACCAGATTGGAAATGTATGCACATCCAGGAAAATGAATGCATGGCCAAAATGTTCAACTAAAATCGACTCCAGCTTGAACAACTACTACACGGACCTAACACCATTAACTTCAGTCGATAAGATATCTTTATAAAATTACCCAATTTGCATCTGAAACCGGGTGCTGCAAACCATGGTTAATCCTCAGCCACTGTGGCCTGATGACTCGGAAATTGGAACTTAGAGAAATGGGCCTTCCTGTTTTTGAAGGGGGATTGTATGTGGTCCTTATCTTGCATTAATGGCTGCTGAGATTTTTTTGCGTCTTGGGTGAATGGATCTGTTATTATTTTTATTTTTATTTATTTTTTATTTTTAGCACGTACAGATACTGCTACTGGCCACTGGGGTTAGAACGTATTTATGTGTTGATTTCTTTATATTTCTCGAGGAATCATCAAACTGTAGCTATGTCAACATTTTCTATTAAAATAATTTTGTTGGGATGGTCAGCTTTCCTCTTCCATAACTTCTGGTAGTTATTGATTCGCATTTTGGATTGCGAGCAGCTAATGTTTGGATTCTTGGGGTGATCAACACATGTATTATGGGCTCGTTATTAATGCATGGAACTATAGATTACTTTTTTGGAATTGGATATACTACTATTTTGCTGACAATTTGCCCACGATACTGTGGAGCTTTGGTATTTGATTTTCGAGGTTGATTTGGTAAAACTAGAAGGATAAAATTTGTCTGTATATACTGACTGTTATTTTGTTGCAGAAGAACTGTGAGGATTCTACCCTTTAGAAATACAGAGATTGTCTGGTGGAATCGAAGTAGATAACAGTGATAATAAATGAATCCAAAAAAAAAATTGAATGTTATATTTGTTTATAATGCTGATATTTCAGTTTTGAGGTTCGTCAAAGTGAAAAAAGAATTTTATGCCCGAAGAAGCTGTTGTTTGCCATCTGAAATCAATTGGGTTGCTTGGTGAATACTATCCTATGTCAAGGAGAAAGGCCGTAAATTTTCTGTATGCATCTCAAGTCATATCAGGGATATGTGGAGTTGTACGAGTGCAGCAGAGTGCAAGGTTCCCACGTTGTAGAGAATCAATCTTGCTGTGCTGAAAAATTTTTGGAAGGCGCATGCATTTTGAAATCCAGTAATTCTTCCGGGACCAAAAACGATTGAATATCAATATCTCGAGCTGAAGGGAAAATATTGCATTACAGAATATGGGTTCTGCGATGGTAATGATGCCCTTGTACCAGCATGAGACGCCCAAAATAATCATGGAGATGAAGGGCAGTGGAAATGGCATGAAGACAACTATGGCCAATACGGTTTGGTTGAGATTGCAAAAGCTTTGGCCAGGCCAGCTTCTACATGACAAAACATTTCAGTATGCAGGTTGGAGCTCCATCCAAGTTTGATGAGAAAAATGGGACTTTAGGGGTCAATGGATCTTATGATACTACCAGACTAGCTGGTCTTCTTGAAGGTGTTATCAAGAAATACGTCCAGTGCTACGGCCATGGAAACCCTGAAACTGAGATAATAATAACAAAAACGCAGATGATCCAACTGAAATTTGCTGCTTGTGGATTTTTCTCTGATGTGGACATGAGGGACTAGGTTACTACTATTATTCTGAAGAACTCGCCTGAAACAAGAACGGCTGAGGCTCAAGGAAGGTGAAAAACCAGTTCTTCCCGAAAAAGAGACAAGTGGCTCTGCTGAGCCTGAGGGCACTGGTTCACCACCCATAGGCCATGCTGTTGAGACAGAAGAGGATGATTACGACAGTATCGTGTGGCAAAGAGACATGTCCCTTGATGCAGCTCATCAGGTCATCCAAGAACATTTGGTTTCTGATATGATTATGCTACGAGTAGATGAACAAGAGAAGCAGCCAAATGCAGCTGACAAAACACGTGGGAGTCCCAAAGGTGCTTCATCACGACCTAAGGATTATGCAACTGCTGGGCACGGAGACAAACCCATGAAAGGCGGCTTGTTCAGGAGGTGAAAGGGATTCTTAAAAGGAAAGTTGCAGGGAAATCAGGTCCAGCCCTCCTTAGCATTGCTTTCTAATTTTGCTCAGGACGTGATGACAGCTCTCTACGAGGCATTCCTCGATGATGTTGAAACTGAGTTTGCAAAGGAGGTTGGCAAAAAGAAAAGCTATTTTACTGCAGCAGTCGGTGCGGATGAGGGCTGGCAGTTGATTTTGCTTCGAACAATTGAGCAATTTTGCAAGAAGTCAATCAAACTCAACTGAAGTGAAGGAAGCGGCTCCGGTTCTAAAAGGAAAAGCCTCGTGTGATTTTGGAGGAAGAGTTTATAGTACAGTGGTTTTAGGAAGGTCGGGCAGGGAAACAAACATTCCCCAATTTGCAAGAACTCCAAACGCTTCATTGATTGGCTTCAAAGCGCTGAGTAAAAAATCGAGGGTTGTTGATTCCACTAGAACCTTTTTCATTTTTTTGGGGCCGCGGCCGGAGGGGAGAGCGTGGGGAAGGATGGCTTTGGAGTTGGATTGGACTCCCTTCAGTGACTTCACCCTTTGAGTCCCAATCAAAATGCGGACTCGTGTAACTACTTAATTTTCAGGAACGAGTGATGAATGTTAATATGCGAATTTCGTAATTTCTGTACCTATAGCCTATAGGCTTTTCTATTTTGTTTTCTCTATTATTTTTTGCTAGCTATATAAAATAAAATACACATTTATACCTCCTCATGTAAGGAGAAAGGAACCAATGCAGTAGGAGTTTCGTGCGATTCGTCGATTATTACCTTATTTGGTATACAATTAATATTATATTATCGTTTGGAGTAAAAATAATGTATATGAATAAAATATTTGACATACATTTAATATAACATTATAATGTATTTGTATATCAAATAATTAAGGATAATTTCACAAACCTCCTTTGAGGTTTCTCACAATTACAAAAAGCTCCCTCAGGTTTTAAAAATTATATATACCTTCCTTACTTTTACTGTTTAGTAACAATTGTAGGTCCAAAAATTTAAATTTTCTTTCAAAAATCCTAAATTGCCCTTGTATACAAAACTAAGAAAGAAAAATATAATATATTCAATTATTTCTTTCACACTTTGCATAAATCAACAAGCCAAATTCTTAAGAACCATTCAAACATAAGTTCTAAAATCAAGTAACCATTCAAAAGATCCCAAATTGCATACACAGTATCAATACTTGCTATGATAAAAAAAAACACACACACACACAAAACCCATTGAAAACCAATTTTATACCCCCAAATTAAATATCAATACTCAAATATAAGCTAATTTGACCTAGAACCACCATCACAACTCCCTATGGCCTAAAAAATATTAATATCTCAAAAGTGGAGAATAAATTCTACCTCCACAATAATCATAATAAAAAATTTCTAATCCAATGAAAAAAGCATTACGTAATTATTGACATTTTATAAAGTTTTTCTTAACAACAAACAAAATATTGACAAATTCCACATCTTTAGTTATTTTTCCTATTTCAATCATCAATTTCATTATTTATTTCTCTATCACTGCGAGTCTCTTCATTTTCTTCTAATTTGACACATAATCTGTTCCCTTTATAGATTTTGTAATTTCAATTTGTTAATATACACAAAATTGAATATAATAAAAAGAGGTTATATTAGCTAGAAAAAAGACAAGAGACGGCAAAATAGATTTGTTTTTTTAGATTTTGTAAATTTATTGCCTTAAATTTAAAATTGTCTACTAAGTGGAGGGTATTATAGATATTTTACTATATCAAGGGAGGTAAGTGTAATTTCTCAAACCTAAGAGGAGCCGAGTAAAATTATCAGAAACCTCAAGGGAGGTTTCTGAAATTATTCCAATATTTAAAGGCGTAATAAATGATCGGACAGAGCCCTGCAAAGTGCAAACGTAGCCCCACCGAGTCCTTGTCCTAATGCAAGGCACTACTAATCTCAAAGGACAAGCACGAGACGAGACGGCTGTGGTCACTAAGACAGGTGCTGTGAATTACTAAAAGCCAACCAAGAGAACTAAACCAACAAAATGAAGAAACACCAATCATTGAAAAAGAAAACAAGAAAATGGAAAGATTCTGATCTGATTAGTGATTACAAATTAGTAGCAGTACAGGTACAAAATATAAATTCGGGTCCGGGTTTCGTTCGGAGCGATAGAGTTGCACCGAACACGCAACTGACGAGCGTCTAACTAATTTTCACTAACTTACAAAGAAGATGGACGCCAGAACCGTTCACGAAACCGTCACTCTATTGTATTTGTATAGTGTATACTTTTAAAAAAAAAAAAAAAAAATTGGAAAACTTATTTCCTTAACATCCGCAAATTTGACAAACATCTCTGTTTCCCAGAAAATTTGACAGCAAACTGAGCTACATTTCGCCATCGCAACTTTTATGAGTTTTATATTTTATTAGCACTACCTACCTGTGTGATTTTAATATATATATACATTTCCGCCATTAACTACATAGGAGCGAGCAATTGATGATCATATTTAAATTGGAATTATATCGCTATCTCTGAGCAAGGTAATGATGTTATGTTAATCATTTCTTCCTTTATTTCGCATCTTATATGCTCTCTCCTATTATTTTCCATGAATTGTGTGAATTCAGTATTGCACTTGTGAAGAATTCTTATTTCTTTTTTTTTTTTTTTGGTTTTGAATTCGGGTGTTTTTTTCTTTTCCTTAAATTCGTAATTACGAGCTGAATTTATGATTTAGTGACATGCATGTTTGGTTAATGAATTTTGTAGGAAAAAAAATGAAATTTTAAGATACCTGTTGTTGCATGTTTGATTTTAATTTTTCTCCTTCTCCTGTTTTATTCATTTCTTGTTTAACGGAAAATCGGATAGAGTAATTATTTGTGAATTTTATATAAAGTGAAAGCTGTAATCTTTGATTATGATTGAAGTTGGAAAACGATGAACACATGCAACAAGAAGGGGTGAAAGTTTTTAAAACTTGGCGGTTGTTCCCAGGTGGTCCCCATCTCACCTCTGAGCCCACGGAAGGGAAGGTACTCCAGGAGAAACAAGAACTTCTAATGATTGAAAACCTAAGCTTGGTTTTGGACAGTACCGTGGAATTCAGCTCAATTATTATGGCTTTTTCTTGGGGTGTTAGGTGGGGTGAAAAGAAGGAATGGTTAAGGTGTTAGGATCAAGTAATTCTTCGTGTTGCACTCACGCATTACTATTATGATGCTTGTGTCGGTTTGCATGTCAGCTATGATCTTTGTTGTTGGAGTGCGTTGCTGATTCCCAAGTGCAAAAATCCCAGCTTTAATTGTTTCAGTTAAGCTCGTTTTTAAAGAACAATTCTCCACCCCAAATAATTCTCCTTATTCTCTAAAACTTTCGACTGATTATACAAGTATTCATGCACTGACTGGGAAATATTCACTGACATTTCCATACCTGGAGAACTTTTAGGCCCCTACTCAACACATACTTTAGGAAGAGACGCCTGCTAAGTTTTCTAGGGAATGGTTCTTGATGGTTTATGCCAAGTTGGTTTAAATTAGGTAGATGAACAGTGACAGGGCTTGAGAAGGAGAACCTTCTGCTGGCTTGTCAGTCTTGCCACAGGTAAATTTTAGAGCAGAGCCACCATCTTTGGGTTATTGTAATTCGCATGCAATCTGGTTAATTGGGGTTTTAAGAAACTGATACACCAACAGATATTTTGATTGGTATACAGGTAAATGTTGAGATCACATATTTGTCTATTGCAGCAAGAAATTAAGAATTTGTTTTACCCCTCATTTACCCAGTGATTAAGATGATTTTCCCCCCTATTGGCAGGCATGGAGGTGGGTTCTCCTGAAAATGGATTTGATGAAATAAGCGACCTTTTCAAACACGATGAATCCACTTTATCTGAAGATTTAGGCCTAAGCTTTCTAATGAATAAGGATGTAGCTGCAGATTATGCGTTTGGTGACTTGGAAGGTGAAGATAAGTTCAATTTCTGTTTCAGTGAGCAAGGGCACTGTGAACTGCCTTCACTGCTGTCTAATTTCAGATACTATGACCCTCCGGGACATCCTTTGGAAAATCTCCATTCTTCTGCTCGAATTAGTAGCAGTAGTGATTTTTTGATTGATACAGATGCTGGTGTTGTTTTGAACGAGGATAATTTGCAGATGAGATCGCCCAAAAACCACCAGCATGAGGATACTGAGAAGTTATGTTCTGGTTATCTTCGTGATTTTGCCTCCCAAGTAGATTTAGAGAGTATCAATTCTGAAGTTCCAGAGGTCTTTTGCAGACAACCACAGGTACTTGCTTCAATGGGGAACCCTATATTGGGAGGAGAAATAGTGGACACGCGAGATTCTCCTCCGCACTACAATATAGGTGAAGAAACCTTTTCAAATCCACAGCACCAAGAACTTGACCAGTCTGAGTTTACATCCAAAAAAGAAGAAGAAGGTGTTCCAGTTGACCAGACAGAAACGCTTTATCTTTCTCTAGAATCTGAGAGTGGAGATTTCAACTCAAGAAACTCTGGAGATGGTAGGGAAGAGCTCAAAGAGCTTGATTTGCCCCATGTTGATCAGTATGACCAAGAGAGAACTTCGCACTTTTCTGTATCTACAGGAGTGATGGGGAAATATGCGTTTCGCCTGAGACATCTCTTTACGCTATCAAGGTTCCACATGATCAGAAACTGTCTGCTTCACATGGTCTTCAAGATGTATTATATTATAATGTAACACATGATCCAAAATGCTGCAAAGCTGAATGCTTTGACCCAAGTGAAGATCCCCTTTCTGTGAATCAGTCGTTACATGCTGCTATGGAGAATTGTGCATCTTCAAAAGGTTCTCCTGCGAAACATGTTCATGTAGCTAAAATAAATGATCAAGGAGTAAAAAGATCAAGATCACAATCACCGGTTAAGCAAACATATTCCACTTCCAGGTGTAAGAAGGATTCTCAAACTAACTCTGAAGCAAGACTCCCACA